CAAACACACACACGTACAAATACACACACACACACACATCTACAGGCAAACACGAAGACACACACACAAACACCCACAGGCAAAAAAAAACCAACACACACACACACACACACACACGCACACACACACGCACACACACACGCACACATTACTCACCTAGACTTCGAGCCTCCGTCCAGTCGTCATGTAGTTGCTCCACATAGAAGGCATACACCCATGTTCTTGTGCGCTTCTCAGAGTTCTGTCAGCGAAACAAAACAAGAAAACTGATTCAAAACATAATCTTGGTTTTTTTTATAGTTTACAAAAACTGGAGGAGATCTGCATTGCCATCTGAAAAACTCGCAGCATCACAAGATATCTCACGTTATTTGTTAAATGTTCGGTGTTATCTCAGGATATATCAGGTTATCTCAGGATACCTCATGATATCTCACAGTATCTCACGTTATTTGTTAAATGATAACTACCGTTCGTTTTAGTAAACGTTTTACGGCTCTTGCAACACAATAAGGTCACAGTATGAGTGCCTAAGAGTTGAGGTTTACAAGAAAGCAACAAGCATAAAAAGGAGGAGTAATACGGAGCTGGGAAAGAAGGAGAATATGACTTCGATTTATATGGCACCGTGCTGCAAAGCGCAGTTTCAATAAGAAGAAAAAAAACCTGGTAAGTAAACGCAACCCCCCCCCCCACACACACACACCTCTTTATACCGGTCCTTAAATTAAATTTTAAAATTCTTAAAATCCCACATGACGCCACGAGGGCCCATATGTCGCCCCGCCCCAAAGAAAGTGGGGACAAAACGAGCGTACTACATTAATTAGGTTCTGAATGGGGGGCTAAATTTTACTCTTACCAAAATCCCAAATCGAAAGCTATATTGCCATAAATCGATACCGAAATCATTTCCCTTTTTTTACACCCTTAACCGTGAGTCTCAATAAATCCATTTGAGGAATTCTAATGGTTAAAACACAGGGAAGTACTCTCTCTTTATTTAAGTGCCATCTTTAGTTTACTTGGGGGTGGGGGGGGGTGTTGTTGTAAACGATTATGTATGTGTGTACATGTGTGTATGTATGTGTGAGTGTGCGGGTGAGTGTGCGGGTGCGTGTATGTATGTGTGTCTGCACATGTGTGTATGTATGTGCGTGTCTTTGTGTGTGTGT